TGGGGGGGGGGAGGGCGAGGGCGTCGCGGAAGAGGTTGCGGACGCCACAAACGAGGTAGAAATTAATGCGAACTTCAGGGAAGAGCCCGGGACAAAGCTCCCAAGGAACGGGGAAGAGCCCGGGCGAAAGGGCCGAGGGCAAACTCTGGCAAAGGACGACGACGACGGACGACGACGAGGAGGTGGAAAGGGGTGGAAGGGGTACGAACGTGGTATGGAGCAGGTGTAGACGAGACTGGAAGCTGGAAGACGAAGGGACGGCGGCGGCAGGCGATGGCGTGGTCGGCTGATTAACTTTTTCGCGTTTTTTGATCCTCATAAATTATGTAGGTACACGACGACGGAAGGTTCGCCGCGGGCGTTAAGGGGCTCGGGTTCTTTCCGGGCAAGCGAGACGGAAAGGAGCGAGAGAGAGAGAGAGAAGGGGGGGAGGGGGCAGGGCACGGAAAGCCCGTGTATATTCACGGTAGGTATATGCGATGAGCGAAAAAGAAGTACGCGCGCATGTTTCATGAGTTCCTCTCATCATGAACTCTCTTGGCCCCCGATCACGCTATGTTTTTAACGTCTTCATCGGTGTTTTAAACCTGCGAAAATTTGCGCATCTTTACGTACTTTATTTGGAATATTTTAATTGCGTATTGGAAAAATTGCATTGAAAAATTGAAAAATGTTCTCTATTAATATTTTGACTCCTTGTGAGAATATATCTTATTGTTTCATTATCAAAATTTTTCTTACAATTTAAGGAAAAATTAATTATTTAATTTTATTTTTAATGGGCTAATTAAATTTTTTTATAATTATTTAATATTTTTATATCTTTTTCTTAAATTTTTTATTATTCTAGTATTAGTAGAAAGTTGTATACGGTACATGCTACACATTTTTTATATTAATTATTGTTAGCAACCGAAATATATAAAGACAGGTCACTAGATTTCTCTTCTGCGCCACACGAATTTACGAAATGTTAAAATTATCATGGCAAGTGAATAATTTCTTTTCCGCCGTGGTGCGCAACTGAATTAGCAAGATTTATCCCGAGGGATAGCGGTCGCGGGATGCACGGTGGCCACCTTTTGACCCTCGTATCCTCTACGACACGTAGGATTGAATTATTTTCTCCTCCCCTTCGTCGTCGCGTCGTCGTCGCCATCGCCGTTGTCGTCGCCATCGTCGTCGTCGCGACAACCACCGCGCCATGTAAGCAACGAATTATCCAGGAAACAGAAAGCGTCCCGCCGGACGCGGCCTGGTTGAAAAAATGAAGCGGCGGTTTCCAACGTCTCGGCTAATTCAATGGTTTCTAACACGCAACGCAAGGCGGCGACAACACGGATACTTTACCGTACAAACATCTTTCCGGTAGCGTAGTCGAGGGTGTAGTCGTGTTACCACGAACTCGTAATTCTGCCGGGGAGCTACGCGCGTAGGGGAAGTCAAAGGATAAAATTCTCTTGGACATCTGAACTCGAGGCGAGATAGGAATTCTTTATCTCGCACTAAAAAAATTAACGTAGTTTAATCGTAATGACAATAATGAAATGACTTTATCGTTATTGATGAAAAAATTGATATTTTGTATGCACGATCGATTTATTAAATTCTCGTATTATTTTAATCGTCGTATTTGGAATGCAAATTGAAACATCAAGCAGCCGGTAAAGCGGACATATTCCGGGATATAAAATTTCCATACGAATACGCAGATAGTACGGAAACATGCAACGATATTGGATTAGCAAACGCGATCTCATTACACGAAACACTCATTTCATAAATATCGCCCTGCCATGAGATCCGTAACGCGGTGCAAGTGCGATATTTTATGGCGCGATCGGCCGCTTTTTGACGTCGGTACAGGAAACGACGCGTATAACAGGCAGTCTGGAAACCATTTCAAAACGTCTGCATTACAAGCTCCGAGATTTAGTGGTAATATTCAGGATGTCGTGCGAACTTTCCGGCTTTGATCGATACATCGTCGCGCCCATATACTTCCAAGACGCAAAAGGGCGATTTATATTTCCTTCGCTCGCTGAAATGCCATTCGGATCATCTCCGTACGCTAGTTCTTTCGATTTTTCGGTCAAAAGATATTCGCGATTCCCGTAAGTTTAGAAGTGTATATATATATATATATATATATATATATACATATATATATATATAGACACGAAATTTAAGCGCTTCTTTCTCGTTTAAATCGAAGATGATACAATGTCACATATATAATCATGACATTTATTTTTCCACATTTGAAAAATTTGGGTTTAATAATATTTAAATTTTTTAATATATACAAGAAATAATAGCAAAATAAATCTAATCTCATATTAAAATATCTCTGAGTACCGACTAATTATAAGAGATCTGGCATTATTATTATCTTTTTAGATGTGAGATTTTTTTATGTGAAAATAATATTATCTTTTTTATTAGATCGGCTTATCGCTCGATGCGATAAGTTATGCGCGAGCGCGTTATATTTTTGATATTAATATTTACGTGGCCCGCGAGGATACAAGAGTACCGTTTTTGCGCTGCGCTACACGTCCGACATTCCCGGGCCTCCGGGAGTAATAGGCGCGGGAAATATTAGCGGAAAAACCGGAAAAACAAATGCACGTGCAAACGAGGAATTCTAAGGACTTGTGTAAAAGAGATGAAAAAATATCGTCGAGAAACCAGTGGAAATAATTAAGAAAAAAATGGATAGACGTATTTTAATTGCAAACTTATACCCCAAATTACATTCCGGATACGCGGGTTCGTTAATTTATTAACGCTTCGTAACGATCCTATCTAAAAAAGACATGTTAAGTCGATAACTCGCATATCTCAAAATTATTTATTGCCGCTTTTCCGTAATTGGTTATCTCACTACGAATACTCGCTGCGCTAATTTCGTGAGCGGCTGTCATTGCAATGACTTTTGACAGTAATTATAGTAAAAAGTAAAAGTGCAGTTAAATAGTAGTGCTAGTTCACAAAATATCGCATTATCTCTGTATGATTAACCGACGAAGCGGAGAGGAAGAGACGTCCAAGTGTTATCGACACTTCGAAACGGTAAAGTACGAAGTTTCGCGGACAGGTGTTCCTCCGTCGCGGAAATACGGGATGGCGTTTAGCCGCTTGAAATTACCGTATGAAATACGCGACCGCAAATAAGCGCGGGAGAGAAAAGCGGACGGCGGAGACGCCGGCCGCCGGAAGAGAATCGCGATAATTTCGACCGCGCGCTTTCTGACTTTCCTCACCGGTTTTCGGACCGGGAGAGTCGCTGCTGGGAGATGAGCACGACGGACATACTTTGCCTTTCCATTAACGGCGTCTCGAGTTTCGTAGGGTTCACCCTTATCCATTTGCGAACGACGGGAAGTCTCCCGCGTGTTCCCCGAGAAAAATATGTAGGAAATACGGAATGTCATCCTCGTGGCTCGATTTGATGGAGTATTTGATAGACTCGGGTCCATATCTCAAGAACTTTCGTTTATCGAGATGATTTTTGGGTCGAACGCTATGATAAAAATGCTCAGGACGGGTATATTATCTCCCGGCTGGTTCAATCCTTCCATTCTTTGAGCCACCCTCGGACCATAAATTCTTATGAACACTCTTACATGAACCGCAAGTGAGTACTCGACTTCGTTGGGTAATGCGAGTTTTCTGCGTGAGTAACGGACGCTCTTGAAAGAGTGAGGGGCGGGGGAGAGGAAGATCGAAAAATGCAAGTGGCGTGCGAGAGGAATATTTACGCGGGCTATGCGGAAACGCTAATGCAACCTCGCTCCGATAGCGGAATAACTCATGTTTACCAGTGCCACGAATCGCACACGTCCGGCGCGAGCAAACTTACCGGAAGTTATGCGTTTACTGCTGGAGTTACGTGCAGAGGTGCGAGTCGGCTGAACATGTTCGGCCGATCGCTGGAAAATACGCGCGTATCCTCCGCGTGGCGGGGAAAAAAAAATCGAAATGCTTTATCGATCGACGAGGCGCCAGCCGGAAGTCGATGATGTACATTTACGCGGCCGCGCCGAGCTTCGCGAATTTCCCGGAATGATGTACTCGAGTTTTCACGAAGCGACGTTGCCTCGAAAACTCGCAATAACTTCTCGTAGCAGTTCTCTCGCGCTTATCTATTGGCAATATGTAGTATAGATAAAATATGTACCATTCATTCGCGTTATTCTTTATTTTTTATTATATATTGTGTTTAATTTCCGTATATTTTTATATCGCATAATATTAGAGCAGCTAAAACATTTACGCTCTTGAAGTACAATCGAATTGAACTCGTCTTTTCTGTACTTCCGTTCGAAGCAAATAATTTTCTCCGGATAGTTTCGAGAGACACAAAAGCGCAGAGCTCTTCTTTCAAGTTAACGCGTTTTATATTATTTTTCGTGCGATTTATCGCGGGTTATTCGTGCCGCATGTAAAATCGATGTTAAGCCTGGAGCGTAATGGAAATTCATTAGCGATGTCGATATTTCCGAGCGCTAGCCCCATGCTTACATTTATTTATTACAAGAGGCTGATAACTCCCGGGCAAACGCCGGGCCGCGTATCGATATTTATTGTCGTGTATATGCGAACATTGTTTGTCACCGGGAGCTCCGACTTCACATAAGTCATCGGCGCGACACCGCCATCGACGGATTTATCATTCGAGTTATGCGTCATTGTCCCGTGGCGGGGCAGCCGAGTCGACGACATAATGCCGCGGTGCTACGATATAATGAAGGGAATGTAGGCGCAGCCATTGTAACCCCCTCACATATACCGTGTGCTGCAGGAATTCACCATATCTTTTATGAATCTAAAGACTATTATTTCCCACCGATAATTTTGATCGACCCATTTCCTCCCCTATTGCAATTTTCTTTTTTTTTATTAATCTTTAATATTTTAAGAAATAACAAACTTTAAATTTAATTTTTATAAACAAAGCTCGATTGATTAATTTGCCTGAATCTTTGAATTTCTAGGTGGACACAACTGAGGCTGTCGTTTGTTCTGATTCAGATTCTGCTGTCTACGATTGCACGGTGAGTTTGAATCATCTTATATGTAATTTGACAGACATACATATATATATATATGTATATATATATATATACGCACACATATATATATACGTGTGTCTACGAGATTGCCGAGCCTGTAATTTGACCCGCAATCCGTCCGCTGTCTACCATTTGCTTTTGTAAAGCCAGTCGTGAATCAAGCCGAGCCAAGTATATATGGATAGTGATAGGCTGCGAGCGGTAACGGCTCTCTCATTTTTGAGCGTGCCGATCGCACGGAATAACATAACGACGATTTCGAACTGACCGGTCGAATTGGTCGGTCGAGGAAAAATTGGTTATCCGCTCGTTCGATTCAGTTTAGGCTCCCCGTCCGAGAGACACGATTCGCACGAAGTATAAGAAATAAATTACAGATATTAATAAATAATTGCTTAATAATTTCTTCTTGAAATTGATTCTTTGACGTTTAATCAAGCATTACGCAACACACAACTGCTCGTAACCGTCATGTATCGTTGATATCGTACGCAGCTTGAGAATCGAATTCGAGCCGTCCGACACCGGAAGACTTATGAAAGCCGCACTAATTTCTCAATAATAGCCACGCTGACCCGCAGGAGGTCTGAGATCGGGAATCGGCCACAGCCGTCTTTGGTCAGGTATCGGTAGGCGAGTTACGTCGTGTCATCCCGCCCAAATCTGTATTCCGTAGATCCGATTTAAATCTGAAAGACTAACCCTTTCCGAAACCCGCTCGAGTCCAAACGGTCGTTTAACCGGTCACCCTCCCATCCCGTCTAGCTATATTCGAGACACATAATGAGTCGTTAATCCCACCCTCCTTCATCGTACCTTAGGATCGACGTCGAGTTAAACAATATCGTAGATAGCTGAGAATTTATCTAGATAATAAACCACGATTTATAGCACTGTGATAGCGTGTCGCAAGTGTTTATGAGAGAAAAAGTTAAGATATTGCAGCTATACGAGAATTATAAAGCCGAAATAGAACCTGCACTTAATTTTCTTCTATACTTATATAGATCCTCGCAACTGCGAGATGTGGAATAATTTTCGGTCGTGATCGAACTCTGAGAATAATAAAATATTCAATAATAAGTTCAACGGCGCGGATTTGGAGACGAAGAGAGAGAGAGAGAGAGAGAGAGAGAGAAGAGGGGCAAATAGCGGGGACCAGTATACGCATTGGTGAACACCAAGGCGAGATTCGAAGTTATCTTTGGCGATGTGAGAGGGCCGAAATCCCTCGCTCCATTCTCCACAGTCAGCGAAGACGGTTTCGGTTAAAATATTCGAGCGAGATCGAGCGAGTCGATAGCGATTGTCACGCGAAGCTCATTCTCCCGTGAGCGTCGTGACTCTAAAATCGTTCAGGTGGAAGAGACGAAAGATGGAAGAGGATTGAAGGCCTGCATATACGCACCGTCCCGCAGTATGCGTAGACTGCGCGGATGGATGTGTCACCCGACGGGCGAAAGTGAAGCTCAGGGCCGGGGCAGATATTTAGGGGGTAGACACAGTTGAGACAGCTTTGGAGATTACATGGGACCGTTGTGCGATTGGAAAGCTATTAGAGTTGCGTGGTGTGTTCGATGACGAGTATTCATGAAGTTAAATACACTGTAAATTGAATTAAATTATTTTTTTTAACTGTAGATAAAATTAAGATTAAATTTTTAAAATTCCAACTTGAAGAAATATAAAATTCACAGAAATGCTAATTAAATAATTTTTAAATTTCAAAAATTACAGAAAACTTGTAGAAGCACCATTACAACTTTTATTTCTCAAGAATTTCAGAGTTTTATCTGTTTTCTGTCGACAAGTTTGGCCAATATATCACTCAATTATCATACTCACCACGTTTAGATAACACACAACAGTCGTAAGGAGACCATTCGGGACCCACCGCGAAACGGCAGCCGACCCTGACGAGAAGACGTGCTTACGTACCCGCTTATTTCGCAAATCCCGGCTATTGTAGTCGCTTAAATGGTCGACCGAGTGTGTCTTTCTCCTCGGATCGCGGTGACACAATGCTCGGTATCATCGAGGCCTGTTTACATAACCCGGCATCTGTCACAACTATTTGTATCCGGAGACATAGATTCCTTCCCGAGGCTCCGGGCCTAGCAGCTTAAGCTGTCGTACCTTTTGTCGCGCTACCGGCTTTTGGCGTCCCTCTCTCTTCGTGGTCATGCTCGAGTGCTCCGGATCAGCAAACACGCACAGGCGCGTCCTGTTCCGCGAGAGATTTCGTCGAGCGTTTCCCTCGTCTCTCTCTCTGATACGTTTTGTATATTTTTGTTTCGAAAGAAGCCGCGCTACACGGCTTAGTCGAATGGAATATTGTGAATACCCCCTAGGATTTGTCGAGTACGAAGACAGGACAGTTCAGACTTAATACGTATATTTTAATGTGAAATTCTTCCGTGCGATGGTAATATTAAATTTGTAGATTGCAAGCGAGACATAAAATCTTTGCTTCATTTTGATATGTGATTTGATAAGATTTAATGAATATGTGATTATATAATATTTTTGTATTTTCTCTTTATTGAAATTTCAAACGATTTAAATCTTTACATTTTGAATCTCTAAACTTTTCAATTCTTCAATTCACAAATATTTAAGCTATCAAATATCTACATATATGTCGCTTCATAGAATTCCTTCTTAATAAAATAATTAATACTTTATTAATCTCTATAATTTACATTTTATATACGTGCGAATCATGTTTCTCAGATAAGGAGTCTAAACTGAATCGTACGAGTAACCAATTTTTCTTCAAGCGACCAATCCGCACAAATTATGTCAATTATGTTATTTTGCGCCAAGTCGAGCTCTTCAGTTTAATAAGCTATCGACACTGTATCTCTTATACTGGTTCTAATACAGATCGAGTGCAATATTTTTATTTAATGTATATATTTTTAAACTTAATTTTTAGTTACATAAGTGATGTGTGGGGTATAATACACTCTTCGTCTTACATATTGAACTTTTGTGCGTTGCTCGATAAAACGAATTACACTCGTCCGCATTCACAGCTGTTTAATCGGTCGGGGGCACCCCGCGGGCCCTTTCAAGCGTAATGACCAGCGTTCGAATGTAGCTGTCCGAAAATTAGTATGGTTTTCGTACAGTGCGATATACCACGGATGCGCGTTCTCCAATCTGTTCGGGTTAAAAGCCCGCGTCCAGCGTCGCCGCGGGCGGTACACGCGGCAATATATATCCTTTTACGTCCCGGCGCAGCCACGTGTGTTCTCGAGGAGATCGGGGAATGCCATTGTAGGCCGATACTCACCCGCTCTCTCCCTCTCTTTCTCTTTCTCCGACCACAATGCGCGATTCACGTAACACCGGCATTCATAGTCAAACGTGCCCGCCGCGCAAGCAAGCGAGCGAGCATCGCGGTTTCCCGCCGTTTTTTTCGATGCGCGAGTCACGATGCATCCGATGTACTAAACCCCCATTCGGAAGTCTCTCCCCTTTCCCCTGCCTCTCTCCCGCCGCAGCCCACCGCTCTGCCCTTTCGCCGTTCTAACACCTGCAAGAATTCGCACGGTAGGTGGCTGCTACACGGTCATTTATATACATACATCTACTGCATATATTGCATCGCGCGTCCGACGACCGCGTCGCGTTTGTATACGTCAGGGCTCGAGTCCCCAGGTTGGGGTGGCGGTGTCCAGGTCGGGTTCAGACTGGCTGGTACATGCATATTACAACATCGCGCGCTGGGTGACTGCGCTGGGCGGACGGCGCGGTGCACCGGGTGCCGTGATTTATCTCGGCTCTCGCGACTCTCTCTCCGCCAAAATGACGCTCCTCGGTGGTTTATATTTGGAAAAAAACGCGGGTCATCGTCGCGTGCGATGAGGTGTGCGCGCCGGTTTTTATTTCGCTCGTTTTATGAATAATGGATGACGGCGGCGCGGCGGCCCGCGAGCGCATAATCTTCTTTGTGTGTTAATGCGACTGTAATTCTGCGCGCGGCATGCCGATGAACGTCCGGGATGTTTCTACGATTTACAGCGTGCCGGTTCAGTTGGAAAAGAATTGAAATCTATAGGATGTTGATAGTAATGTATCGTAATGGCAAAATATTCTTTTTACGCGGTTAATAAGATCTAAAATATTGTTGTCTAAAAGTAAATACTGAAATAATGCAAGATGATCACTATTTTCAATAAATAGTTATGAGTTTTACATAAGTACGTTATAAGTACTGATAACTTTCGATACTTTTGGCGATAGTTCTAGTTTGTTCCAAACAATCTCTACGCGAGTCAATCATTTTCAAAACTTGTTTCACCTTATAAACATTGTTTTTTTTGTTGCGAATCGATTGGAGCAAAAGATCGGGATTAGAGCAGTTAATTAACGAATAGATAGCAAGTAATTCTCGCACAAGTCCGATTCGATTATGCAGAAGTGGCTGCGAGAACTTTAATCTCAAAGCTACGCAGTCATTGATTTTTCCAAAACGGCTGGAGGAAAAAATCGAGATTTGCGCGATTAATTAGCGAGTAAACAGGAGATAATTTCTACGCAAGTGCCATTTGATTGTGCTGAAGTGGCTGTGCCAGCTTAGTAGATGTAATTTTTACTTTTACCGCCAGCACGGCACTCGACGGAAATGTGTCGTGCTGATAATGGCACTTCTGGCGATAGTTCTAGCTTGTTCCGATCAATATCTACGCGAGTGAATAATTTTGATATCGAATACAAAGACTTTTATCGATTATATTATAATTAAAATTTGATAGCAGTGTATATTTATTTCCTTCATATGTATATGAAAACTTATAACTTTTTCTATATCGCCAAAGTGACCGTATATGTTGATTTAGCAATCGTTTTTTTTCCAACAGCCGATTTTCACCGATTTTACCTATTCTGAATAATTCTCGCATCGCGTGGCATCTCGGCTAATACTTTACAAGTGCTTTATTGCGCTTTATTTTCTGCGAATTTTCCGTGACTGC